AGCGCTTCTTTTTCGTCAAATAAAAAGTCGAAAAGATTAAATTCCGCCAATATTTTCCCCTTTTACTATATTCTTAAGTTTTTATTTAGATTATAAACCTTCGAAAGAAGGCTAAAGACTAAGTTGGTGAGACGGTCATCAGAAAATAAATATCTTAAACCTGCGGCGTTGCTCCGTTAGAGCTCCTGGAGCTGAATAAACCGTTTAATCATTTTCTCCAAACTCCTCACACTGATTACCTCCCTTGGCAGAATTGTAATCACTGCCTTCACAGACGTCACATGATGATGAAAGTCACATGACGTAACGTCGAAATTCAAATGTAAATATCGACAGTTACATAGAAAATATAGCGTCATTTTTCTTTTTCTGTTTTATTTTTAACTTTTTGTACCTACGTCCGTTATATTTTATCAAAAAATAATCAAAAGTATACAAAATAATGAAAAATAAATTAAAAAGCTAAAAAATATAAATATCCAAATATTGATATTTCAATGTTTGTGATGGCAGAGATCTCTGTACTGATAAGGGGAGATCACTGCGTATGAGATTGCATTTTCTCATGAGCGTCCATTACAAAAAAAAATCAAGGCTTGTTTGAAATACACTTTGTTGAACAAAGAATACTTCATAAGAAATTAATTTGTCTATGTAGAGGATCAGTGGAGAACTCACGGCTTATTGATAATAATATCAATAATTGCAAACACAAAAAAAACAACACAAAAAATATAATGAAACTTAAATAAGTGAGCAAAGATTAAAACAATTGAAGTATGAAGTTTATATATGTAATCATAAAGAAAATACATATTTGAGGGACAAACAGAAGGATTGCAATGTTCAGTTATTTAGTTATGTGGACAATCTTTAGAATTGCAGGTTGAGGTTTCAGTTCTTAAACCAAAGCAAAAGTTTCCGCCATGTTGTGGTGTTGGATTGTTGCAGTCTCTTGTACGACTTTGACTTCCAGTTCCACACGTGACAGAGCACGCGTTCCATGTGTGCCAATGGCTCCAATTTCCATCTACTAAAAATATAAAAGGGAAAACATATTTTGTCCGTTTGAATGTGAATTTGAAGTATACATATATTGTATGTTTTATACGCATCTCATGATTTTTATCTATTTAATGCTATCTATATAACGAAATAATTCAGAGCAATTTTGTTACAGTTTTTTACTGATAAATGATACAGAATTTGTTTAAATACAAACATAGCAGAAGTCAATTTGTAAGACATTTGGCTTCACTTATTAAAACATGTATTGTAATACTCCAAGCAGAGTTGTCGTTCGTTCCTGATAAAAAAACTAATGAAATAATAACCCACACTGAAGGTGATTTATAAAGTAAAACCATAGAAACAAAACACAAATATGTTTGAATTGGCATAACACGTGGATACAATAATTTAATCACTATTATTCGGAAATTGCAAAAATCTCGTATCAAGTTTGACAAAAAAATTGTTTATAAAAAATAATGTCATACCAGCCTTATCGGGCATCGTACTTATAACTTGAGTCTCGAAATCTGAAAAAAGATTAATATTTAGAAAATATATAATGCCAAACTGTGATTTTATCGCTCAATAACGCCACTGTTTGGAGTTCGGATGCGAGGAATTATATCTCGAGAGCGTCGGAGTTTTTAGTGGTTGCGTCACATGTATAATGATTAGGTCACATATCTAAATATAGAACAGTGATTTTATTGCATAATAACACACATAATAATGGATTTTCTATATAAAATAGTCGAAAATGCAAATAATCACACTATTCTATTATGAGCCGATGTGGGTTATTACAAATTCTAACACGATCCGCATTTTTAACTATTGAACATAAGTTGACGATCTATCTTTACAATGTAATGCAACCATTAAAAATTTGACGCGCTTAAAAAAATGTGGAAACAAATTAGACACAATTTTGCTTGATATCTGGTAGGCATTTTTTAAAAGTCGAAACAAATGTCTAAAGCAATGTTTATCGCGTTATAAAATCACTTTTTATTTATTTTATTTAGCGCAACAATTTCTGTTGGGTATATTTCATTTCTTAAACAGTTTCAGTTTATTTCTAGTAATATAGGCCTCAGGGCCAAAATACAAAGTACAACAATACAATCAAACAGTAGAGTGATAAATTGCAAATACATTTGTCACTAGATGTAATGCATTGAATTTGTAAATAATTATACTGTATTTAGCTCTTCCTTTCTTACATTCATTGCATAATATATATATTTAGCAATAGATATTGCTCCATTTGTTATTGTTGATGACATTAGAGAATACAATAAATGGTGGGAATAGTGATGTAACTATGTATCTTTAAAATAGACAGTTCTGATATTGTTATATAGTGAACATTTAAAGAAAAAAGAATATTCAACCTCAATTACATAAATATTTGTCTTTAGGCAATGAAAACAATATCTTTAATATCTATCTATTCCAATATGACTACCTTTCTCTATCATGAACAGCGAATATTAGAAAAAGCTCATCTATACTTATACGTTAAATCTAAACTTAAATATCGTTCAACATTAAGTAAAGTCTTTAAGTTTTTGTAATGTAATGCTTTTGGAGAAGAATCAACAACATTTTGCCAGTTTTGTGAATAACAATCAAATAAGCGTTGCTTAAACATTTTAATGAAATTATGAAATTTAAGTCACCACCGACGTCATGAGAGATCCATACATATCCAAAACCAAATTGAAAAAGCATATCTTTAATGTTGCCAGCCCATGTTTTCCGTCCAGATTCGTGTAGTCGTTTTAACATCAAACAACAATGTTTAGGGTACCTATGATCTCCCATGCGTGTCAATTTTAACCAGTTTTTATACAATTTGTATAACAGCAGAAACTATAACCTACTGTATTGACATATCCAATTATACGAAATGATTCTTCCATTTACCAGAGCATCGCAATCAACGTCGTTCCATTTTCCATCTCTAGCCACGATCATAACAACACAATCTCTCTGGTCATGATAGGGGTCAACATTTCGCCCGGGAGCCCAATTAGTATAATTCACTTTAACACCTACGAACAATGTAAACATGAATGGTGATACTGGTGGCGAAGGAAGAAAACAACTCTTTTAATGATAATGGCCCTTAATGGCTGATCTTAAGATATTAAAGAAATCATTACAAATTTTGTCGTCCCTAATAATAGCAACACTACTTCATAATGCAAAATTTGATTAAATGTTTGACTTTTCAACAGCAATAAAAGATGCTCCTTTAAATTCTTCTTAGCTTACTTTTTGTCTTCTGGTCCAACTAATTTTACTGCTTAGGAACGAACTATACAACATGTATTTAATTTTATTAAAGAATTCCACTAAAAAATTCAAATATATTCAGATATATTGTTATCAAATTTAGTATAAAGCAAGCTTTAAAGAAAACCTCAGGTGGGATTGCATTTGGACCCCCTTGGGACAAGGTCACTGTAACTAAAAATAGAAACATTGTTTCAGAACAATAACTAGAGGAAGAAGTGAGGTATTGTCATAAAACTTTGTATAAATCTAGCTTATATGAAGACCCATGTTGAGATTGCTTTTGGACCTCCTGGGATCAAGGTTACAGTTACTAAAATAGAAAACTGGTTTTCGGACAATAACTAGAAACGGAAATTACATATTGTGATCAAATTATGTATATAGCAAGTTTACAAGAGTACACAGAGTGAGATTGTTTTGGACGCCTTCGGTTCAAGGTCAATGTCACTTCACTACAAATAGATTTTTTTGAACAGTAACTGGAGTTATGAATGATGTATTGTCATCAAATTAAGTATATAGCAAGCTTATTAGACGTAAGCTGGGATTGCTATTTGACCCCCTTGTTCAAAGTTGAGGTCACCGTTAATAAAATTAGAAAAATGGTTTCTGGACCATAACTAAAACAAGGAAGTAGATATGTAATTGTAATACATCTATATAACTTGATATATAGCAAGCTTATATGAAGACCCATGTTGGTGTGCATTTGAACCCCTTCGGGTCAATGTCACTATTACTGAAAATAGAAAATTGATTTTCGGACAATTACTCTAGAGTTATAAATGAGATATTGTTATAAAATTTGGTATAAGGCAAGCTGATAAGGAGACCCCAGGTGGGCTGCATTTAAAGCCCACAGGGTCAAGAGTTAAGGTCACCGTTACTAAAATTAGAAAAAAAAATTCCTGACAATAAAAACAGTTAGCAATGAGATAGTGTTATCAAACTTGGAACATAGCAAGCTTATAGAAAGACCATGGTTGGTATTGCGTTTGGACCCCATGTGATTAACGTCTGTTACTAAAAAGTAGAAAAATGGTTTCCGGACAATAACTAGAGATAAGAATGAGAAATTGTAATTAAACTTGGTATATAGCAATTTTTTATGAAAGCCCTGTTTCGATAACTTTTGAGCCCCCTAGGGTCAAGATCAAGGACACTGTTACTAACAATAAAAATGTTTTCTTAAAGAGACGCTTTGATTGTAAGAATTATTGGTATACAGATGAAACATCATAAATTATAGGTAGACTTCAAATATTGCTTCAGACCACTTATTTTTCAAGAAGGCAAGGTTGCCGGTGGGGGTATGAATCACCTTTAGTGATATCTTTGGTTGAAATTAGCTTATATATGAATCACATACTTAACACATACTATCACACTAACATACCTTACAGTGATAGCATACAAATTGATATATCAGTTAACAAAGAGACATAGTTCTATAATATATAAAGAGATATCATGGTTATATGTACGCAAGTTGCCTGAGGATACTACCATTACACATGTATTTTATGTAAAAAAAGTTACCGGTGTCCCAATTAAAGTGTCCTTCGTTCACCCGATCATCTAGTCCAAGCCATAGTTTTGTTATAACATAACCTTTTGAAATAAGATTCGAAATAAAAGCTTGTTCCCCAGCGTTTGTTATGGACAACATATGTCCTCCTTTCCTATGACAGTCTGTTCATCCAGCTACCGGCGTATGGAACGAACTCATAACATTTGTCTCCATACACGTGAATATACTGTGTCGGTACTCGTTGTGTCAAGTGAGATGGGCAAATAGAGCGCACTAAAAGAAGAAAGAATTCCTTCGTCATTTATTGAACTTTGAATATACATGTATCTGATATGTCTGTGTAAAGCCATCGTCGGATATCAACAATTGATAAACGTGCAGCGTAACAGTTAAAATGAATCAATTTGCGACAATATATACAGCAACAGGTGCGTACAAATCGACCAATGAAATAACTTTTTCTCCAACAGCGAGGGTAAACAACTATCAGAAACAAAATGGAAGCGCCCACGATGACAACATGTTTCACGTGCCTTGCCAATATAAAAGACAAAAACTTTCACCAATTCAATTCCGCTACAAGCAAATACCACTATAGCAATATGTTTCTAGAATTTACGTTTCACCGAACTTCGTATAGAGCGAGGGTCTTGATTGGCTTTAATCGCCTCATGAAATCGTGAGACAACTAATGAAATAATTGTCTTGGACACACCTCTTATCAACTGGATATCGGCAAAAAATCCTTCGGCTGATAAATGGTTATGGTTTGGCCATGGGTATCCGACGATGGTCTAATACCAACAAATAACTTTTTCCTAATGGTTGTGTTCACTGCATTATCTAAAAGTGTTTTTACGTAAAGAACTTTGCAAAGGAATCTGTTTCATATAAATATAAAGTTGATCTCCAGAATGTCCAATAATGGCGATTTTTCTAATGCATGTTTATTCAGCAACATGGACGAACTTTTTAATGACCAAATATTCTCGTTTGCTTATTTAAGCATTATGTTTACGCCACTTGATTACTCATATTTTTTTTGGAAGTTTGTTTCATTGTGTGTGTTTTTTGTTGTTGTTTTTTGTGAAGGGGAGGGGGTAAAACCCTCAGCGAATCTTTCAATACTTAGCGCAGGCTTAAATATAAAATCAGAGAATAATAAAATCAAAGAATGCAGTACAGGTAGTTGACATATTTGCATTGCTTTATAGAATGATTTGTACATATCTTTGAAATGTATCAAAATATATGATTTTGCTGCAGTTCAATAATTCGTAACTACATGGCATGCCATCAGTTCTCAGTTAAAGTTATTTTCAGAAAGTGATAAGTGCAATAAAATAGAAAAAAACAGAATCCCTAAAGGAAGCCAAACACGACAAAATTGAAAATCTTGCCGACTCGGTTTGATTGAGTCTGTTCATGGACTGTACCTGAAAGTGCATGTTACCGTCCACGCCCTTAGAACCGGCTTAAGCAGAATTCAACATTTAAACACGAAAATGGTGAAGTTTTGAATATAGAAACATCCGCAGATATGTTTATACGGCGGTTATCATGGAACCTTCAATGTGACAAAGTAGTGTCATGATAAGCGGCATATGGTCCCAAGTAAAAGAATGTGTGTTCCCTAAATAAGAAAACAATTGGCGGAGCTAAATAAAATAGAATTTGGAAAGGGGATCTGAGGTTTTGAAGTCTGCATATCACAGACAAGACGTCAAAAGACAAATTTAAAAAGTAGGCAACATATCCAAAGGATGACTATACAGTATTCAAGTAAGAATACTGGAACCGCCCAAGTTGAAAAGTTGAAAAAGGTTGAATAGAAGAAACTAAAAATCTCATGTTCAACGATCTTCAAGGATCGAAAATATAATCATAGATTAAATGTACGGGAGACTTTTTACAGCCGCCACACGGCACATATAAAAGCTGCATGAACCTGTTTCATAATCAAGGTTTGAAGGTTAAATATATTTTGATAAGAATAATCAAGCATAAAATACAATTTCCATCACGTTATAGTTTGACTATTTAATGTAAGTATCTTTTCTCAGATAACATTACCTACTAGTATTTCGGTTTTATTGATTTTCCTGTTGTGTGGGCTTGTGTGGGCTTGGATTACAGAGAGTTGTGTTCACAACATTTCACATGAATATCATTCTTTGCACCAGTCAAGTTAATACACACTTGACATTGAGTTCAATAAAACTTAATTGGACTTCTACTCATTCAATATCCTTTATATATAATAACAAGAGGGCCAAGATGGACCAAGATCGCTCACCTGACCCATCGAACATATCCGAACAATTACCTAGACAAGCATTCTGACCAAGTTTCATGACATGTGAGTCAAAACTGTGACCACTAGAGTGTTAACAAGGATTTTCAATATTTGATCAGTGTGACCTTGTTTTTGATCCCAGGTGACCCATATTCAAACTAGATCTATAAATCATCAAAACAAATTTTCAAACTAATTTCCAGGATATTTGGATCAAAACAGTAGCCATTAGAGTGTTAACAAGATTTTTCTATTTTTAGCTCCTGCGACCTAGTTTTTCATCCGAGATGACCCATGTTCGAACTCATCCGAGCAATTACATAGACAAGCATCCGCACCAAGTTTGATGACAAATCATCAAAACAAATTTCAGACTAATTTCCAGGATATTTATATCAAAACAGTAGCCATTAGAGTGTGAACATGGTTTTTCTATTTCTAGCTCCTGTGACCTATTTTTTCATCCTAGATAACGCATGTTTGAACTCATCCGAGCAATCACCTAGATAAGCATCCTGACCAAGTTTGATGATAATTGAGTCAAAAATGTGACCACTAGAGTGTTAACAATGTTTTTCTATTTTTCAGCTCCTGTGACCTAGTTTTTCATTCCAGATAGCCCATGTTCGAACTCACCCGAGCTATTGCCATGATAAGCATTCTGACAAAGTTTGATGATGATTGAGGCAAAATGTGACCGCTAGAGTATTAACGAACAAGTGTTGACGGTGAGCTCAAAATAAAAAAAATGACATGCTAAAATATGTACTTTGTTTTGAAGGTCAAAATATGATAAATAAGATCAACAAGGAAAGGCGGTGCTCAACGAACGCAACCACCACACGACCCAGCAACAAGAACCAGCCGCAAGGAGCCCAGGAGGATCCCAAATAAAAACAGGACAGGGCGTAAGGGAGAGCACTCACAGGCTTATCACTAAAATGATACATAAAAAATAATAGTAACCAACAAGGAAATCAAAATAAAAGGAAACAAATAAATGACCGACCAATAGGCCCACTAAGCAAAAAAACACCAACGACTTATCCAGAAAATATATATAACCAATATATGCAATTTAAATTAATGTAAATTTCACAAATATGTGGTTATATTCTCCAATGTCTTGAGAGATTAAACTCCTCTTTAGCAAGAAGCTAGCTGTTTATATTTTGCAATACATACATTGTACTTTTTTATACTTGCCATTGTATCTGTAGAAATTAAAATACAGGAAGACTTCGAAAAGTCAAATTAAAAGTTAATCATTATTTGAAATATTCGAAGTTTATTGTTGTTTCTTAAAGGCTCATTGGTATTTTGTCTTTCATACAAAATATTACATTGCTATAACTTAAATGGCCAAAAGCAAAAGAAAACCAACAATTTAATAAAACGATCCTTTTTGATAGAAAAGAAATAACATTTTAAGGCTTGATGTACGTTTTACAGGAGAAATTATATTGATTTATACAATTAATATACAATGTATCACAAACAAAAGATAAAGATTTCTTACTAGTATTAGTTGTCGGTATGGGGTTGGACGTTTTGGTGGTAGCCTGTAGTGTCGTTGTTGTCATTGTTGTTGGAGCAGGAACAGCTTGAACACAACATGATCCTGTATATTTAAAAACCACGATTTATTCAAATGTAAATTAACGCCGATTTGAGTTAAACCTTAAACCATTGCATGATGATGTATGCTTTATGAATGAAGAATAAAATAGAAAGTGGACTGTGTCGATAGCATAAAATTGAAAAGGACAAAAGGACAAAGGAAGAAATGCAATAGTGTTGCAACTATTGGATATTCAGTTTTACGAACTGATGCTACATAGAGTTAAAAATTCATTTAAGGTTAATTGTATCGAAAGTATTTAATAATTTCTTTAAAAAATCATGCAAGTAAAAGCTGTTCATATTTTAAAAATAATAATAATGTGCTTTCAATTTAAGCTTAATTACTTTATAAAACACTACTTACTTGTAGAAGGCGGTGGCAATGGAGGTTTTGTTGTTGGTCGTACTTTGTTGACATAAATATAGAAAACTCATATTTATATATACAACTTTAATTTCAAGCATAACAAAGACCGTGCATAAACGTATGGTATTTGTGATGTTCGAACGACTTAAAAGTTTATCCCATCTTAGGGTACCATCTTATCATTTCAATAAATCAATTATTAAATTAAGCAATACAAATCCTACTTCCATTCATTAGCTACTCTCAAGTCAATTTACTTATCGTTGTTTAATTAAATCATAATAGAAGTCTGTGAAACAATGATTACTGTATATAAAAAATAAAGAAACATATTTACTTATTCCTTCTGGACATTTGAAATCATGCTCTGTAAATATAATTATAGAATTCGTTCTTTCAAATCGTTTGCAAATATTGGTTTTAAATAAAAGAAATGCATTTGTATAATGAATAAATAACATCCTAGATTTCTAATAAAAAGAAAGATACTACACTTTTGAAAAATAAATTTTCATTGGACAACAGGAGGTATAAAGGAATTGTGGATTAAAATTAATTTGTTAAATACATTTTGTCTGGTTATGATATATTTATTAACAGCTTTCGGATTGATAATAAAATACCATCGTTCATATTGTGTCGACATTGAGTTCTTACATCAGTTCGGGTTATTTTCAGAAAAGAGTTATATATACATGTACAATTAACATGAACCTGCTCCGAAATCACAGTTTTTAAACTAAACGCCTTTTATGATAATAATTAAGCATAAAATACGTCCGACATGTTATAATTTGACGATTAAAACGTCTTATTTTAGAAAGCATTACCTATTACGGTTTTATTGATTTTTCTGTTGTATGGACTAGGATTACAGAGGGTTGTGTCACAACATTTCACGTTTTTGTCTTTCTGCTCACCAGTCAAATTTACGTATACTTGACATTGCTAAGAAATTCAAATCAAAAGCATGATAAGATCTTACTGGCACGAAAATCATGTCATTTTAAACATATTGTTCTATACATTGCATTGCTCATAGAAATAAACAAAAACAATACATATTGCTTTATAAAATACGGATGCATATTTTTGTCAACATTGAAACACTACTATCACGTTAATATATTTACTTACTAGTTATCTGGTAAATAAGTTTTTTTCCCTGTTAACTGACGGATTCAATGTAAGTTTCTAACTTGCAAAGTGCCCACAAATGCCAACACTTATAACACATGTGTTAGTTTACCAGTCAATTAAGTTTCTGATCATTATCTGTATAACAAGATGTTTTTTTTAGTATCTAGATAATACACGTACATATTAAATAGATGTATTTCGCCTTTTGTGGGCAAATTTTAGTGGTTTAGTGAAGTTGATCTTGGTGTATAGTTCTACTAATGTCAGTAGAATATTTTGAGCTCGTTTTATTTCACAGACCGTTGTAAATAAGCGATGAAATAATTGTCATATATTTTTTATTTGTAATGAGGTGATATTATGATTAAACTTATAATAAACTCAATATTTACCGCTCTCTTGAATTTGCATCCGAGTTCATATGCACCAGGTATATGTGAACGGGGATGAGTTGTGACAGAGCATGCCTATCATTGCAAATAAACTTTGATAAGCAGGTGTAATATTGTTATAAAATATGCACATCTTTTTTATTAACTCAAGAACCTGATTTTTTCAAATGATATTGATATTCTATAGATAATTATATTTTCCTTTGACCTTTAACTTTGACCTTTGACCTACTGAACTTTTTCAAGCGCAGGCGTGACACTCAGTTATATAAAAGGTAGCATTTAAATTAAGTAGTATTGTACATATTCCCTTTATGCATGTAGATGATACTTCGGACACAAATCTCTCTTGGCCTTGCATACAGATAGAGACAAGGGTTATGTGTGTAATGTTCAGTCTCATACTGGTAAACGGTTGTGTTAAAATCGCTCAATTCATGATAATTATTTGAATGGTGCAAACATTCTTTCTACTTTTATCTGACACATTACCTCTGTCATTTTAATTCGGAAAATATCATGCGGATGAAATCTAGACATTTTAAAATATCTAGTGGCCTGACCTTAAATTTGTGATGAAACCCTTAACCTTGTGATTGTGAACATTTGTGACATAATTCCTAAATCAACCAGGTTTAAATGCTTTGTACACACAGTATAACACTTTCATCTGATTTTAACGCCTTAAAATGACATCGCTCCTGTTGTACTTTTCATTTGTTTTATTTTTTTTTTCTTACAAGCATCTGACTATTACGCAAAATATGCTTTGGACATATTAGTATCTCCAGTGAACAGTTATAGTATGGACCTGGATTATGCGTGTACCACTTGGGCTACTGAGTGAAAACATGTCTTAAAGAAAACCTCTTACATATATTTTTTATATATTAATCTGACATTTGACCTGTATGTGGGAAATTGACCTTGGCTTCATAGACCTGAGTTTTACGCGGTTCATTCAGCAAACATTTGTATCAAGAAATATTTTTTAAAAAACCTTCAATGCATGTAGAGGTTTTGCTCCGGACAATCGTTTTTCTTTGAGGTTTTAGTAAAATCTTGATCTTTGACCGATAGACCCGGTTTACTCGCAGGAGTGATCGTGAACATTGATATTAACTAATACTTTGATATCTTCAAACATGTAGAAGTTACCGTCTAGACAAATTGGACGCCTCCCGCCAGTCAAGGGCATTCCCATAAAACAACATGATTTTAAACGGGCAAATAAAAGATTAAATTATTAAAAAGAAATAAGAAATCACATTTACAAACTGTATCAGACAACATAACAAAACTAATTAAAACATTTAAACTATGACAGGTCAATTAAATGAATACAAAGCCAATATGCACCAAAGACAATGACGGGTATAGAATAAAAATAAGACAAAACATTGGCAAACAATAAAGGTCATTGTAAGACAAGAATTGCCAAACAAAAAAGGTCAATGTCAGACAAGACTTTAACAAAAACAAGGTAAAAGTAAGAAAATAAATTGGAAAGCTTAAAGATTAAAGGTAAGACTTGTAATTTGAGAACATTTATGGTCAAAGTAAGTAAGTTTAGATATTGGCAGACATATAAGATCGAAGTAACTCAAGACATTTTTGCCATTAAAGTAAGACAAAACATTGGTAAATGATAAAGGTCAAAGTAAGACAAGACGCTGCCAAACAAAAAGGTCAAAGTAACACATGACGTTACCAAACAAAAATGGACAAGGAAAGACAAGACGTTGCTAAACAAAAAGGTAAAAAAAACACAAGACGTTGACAAACAAAAATAGACAAAGTAAGACAAGACGTTGACGTTGATAAAAAAGAGGTCAAAGTAAGAAAGGACATTAACAAACATCAAGATCAAAGTAACACAAGACAGTGAAAAAAATAAAGGTAAGACATTGACATTTAAAAAGATATAATGTCAAAGTATGAGTAGACATTGGCAAAGACATGTATATAAAATTGGGGGAAATATTAAGATTAAGACATTTACGGCATAAAAAGTCAAAGTAAATCAAGTCATTGACAAATAAGGTGACATGACATGGAAAAAATGATTATATTTCACGATACAAATAAGGCAATACATTAAAATACCTCAATTGTAATAGTATGTCAATTTAAATTGGCAAACATGCAAGGTCGAAGTAAGAAAAAGACATTTTCAAACATACATATTCAAAAAAGAAATACCAGATATTGGCATTAAGATGAGGTCAAAAAGTAAGACAAAAATGCAAATGTACAAGGTAAAGGTCAGGATATCGACAAACATACAAAGTGAGTGTCAGAATATACAAGGTCAGAAAGAAAGATATGCCATTGACAAACATACAAGCTAGAGTAGATCAAGACAATGACAATTATACACAGTCAAAAATAAACACCGGACATAGGCAATAATACGAGATCAAAAAGAAAGACATGGCATACGTACAAGGTAAAAGTAAGTAAGGACATTTACATTACAAACATACAAAGTCAATGTAAGACAAGACAATGAAAACATATAAGGTCAGAAAGAAAGATAAACTATTGGCAAAATACAAGCTTAAGTAAGACAAGGCATTGATACACATTCAATGTCTAATAAGACAATGCATTGATTAACATTCAGGATCGAACATTATCCAAGATATTGGCAGATTTACAAAGTCAAAAAATAATATAAAGCATTGTCAATGTTAGACAATCATTTCTGGCATACAATGAAGAAGTAAGGCAAACGATTGACATGCATTCAAGGTCTAAGTAGTATACGGCATACAAACATACCAGATTGTAATAAGGTATAAGGCATTGGTAAGCATACAAGGTAAAAGTACGGCAAGAGATTTATAAACATACAAGGTTACTGTAAGACAATAAATTTACAAAGATGAAAAAGCATGTTTTATAAGGCATTGACAAACTTACAAGATAAAATTGAAATAGCAAACAGTATTAAACAATAAAAGCCAAAGTGTGACATTAAATGGTCAAACACTGAATGTCAAAATAAAGTCATTATAAATAACAAATAAAGAAGTCAAAATTATAGGTACAAAACGTAGCCAATTATAAGAGTAAACGTCAAAATAGAACATGAATAATTTAAGCATGCCAGTCCTTTTCTGCATACAAAAATATTTGTACAGTCTTACTTTATCTTAGAACTGCTTTTCCGTCTTACAAAAACTTGCTATTTTTAGACTTAATGCAATTTATACTCATCAAATGCACTAGCTAAAAATAAATTAAATACAGTACTTACTTATGAAATTAACGCACAAGCTTTTAATAAATTTTATAAACTATATATTTATAAACTTAACTCACTACCTACTTATAAAATTTATCTACTACATATTTATATAAAACATGCACTAGCTAATAATAAACTAAATGCATTCACTACCTACATAAATACTTAACGCAATTAATCTTTTATTGCAGTTTAAGAGTTAAGACGTGCGGTTAAATTAGTTAAATTAGGAGGAAAGATTCGACACTCGAGGATTCGCATTGTACTGTACAGGTCGTATTGACCACCCACCCATCCCTTTAACCGTTGTCAGTCTTAGACAATATGTTCTGACTTTAAATAGCCATTATTTTATTTAGTTACATCAAGATAAGCCAAATGTTATAATATATAACTGTAGTCATTAAGCACGTTTTTAACTTTACTGGCAGTAAAGCTTTTGGTTGTTGTTATCCGTAGATATCAACATGTTAATAATCAAGATAATAGTTTATTTTACAGGCTGTGAGTTACTTCAGAGGTTCATCTTCCGAGGACATAAAGTGTTATATTTTGTATTGGCGTGTATTAAATGATATTGAAACAATGCAAAAGCCTTCATCATAAGTCAGTGTTGTTGCTTATTTTGTCCCAGACTAAAGGTCTTATAACTCTTATTAGGTGCTAAATGATTTATTTTCGTTTTTAAAGCGAAGCGAATTAGAAAATAATTATAAATAAACTTTACACACTAGTTACTAATAAACTTAACGCACTATATAGCTTATAATATTCTAAATGCAACAACTATCAATAAACTTAACACTATTTAATAGACTTCTTAGCTATAAACTTAACGTTCATGCTATTAATAAACTTACATATAGTGTCAGATCACAATCTTCAGTTGTTGTACATTGTGGTCCTCCTTCATAAACCTCTTCACATTTAAAACATTGCGTCACGTTGTTCGCTGGTTCTGAAATATTTATACCAATACCAACAGAACGTTTAAGTATGTTTGTTGTTTCTTGTTTTCGCTTGTTATCCCCAGTCCACCCTCTCCCGCATGTACTAACTGTCACACCTAACCGACGTGCATTGATATACCGAAAATGCAATACGAAATTTGCAATGGTCGTGGCATTTTATTCCACGATGTCTGGCTTGAACGATTTTGAACCGTCTATACAATGACTATGACTATGTCGAAAAGCCCTATTATTTCTCCAAACATTGCCTGATAGCGCTTTTAAACCCAAACGTAACATTAGCTTAAACCTCTTTAACAAATCTATGCACTGTTAAATTTCCACTATATAAAGCAGAAAATGCGATTTCACTGAAAGGACATTGAGAAAGTGACGTGAGTAACGTAACTCCTTTGTTTTGTGTATATATTTACTTACGTTTATAACCGCATCCTTCCGCATTGCAGCTATCCTCGAAGCAGCATTCGGAACACAGCGTTAGGTCATTGTCTACCCGTTTCTTCTTTGAACTTGCGTCACCGTATGCGTTTTTATTACATAATTGTAATTTGCAATACTGAAATAAAATTCCATATTTGATATCAAATTTTAAGTTATATATTTTGTTAATGAGATCTTAATAGAAATTGTTTTTGGGGTCTTGTTAAGTTATATATGGACTTTTGTTTTCTATAATTACATGTGTCAGTAGAACAACCTAGATATCACATTTTCAAGAACGAATTGGAACCTAGTCTTTCAAAGAGTTAATTATGTTAAAATATGGTTATTGAACAGATTTATTTTATACTTTCATGTTTTCATACCATACATCCTTCTTTAATATAAAGTCATGACATCAGCAACGTCATTCCGAATTACAAGACGTATTATGTGCAACAGATGGAGTAAATTGTGTTACGATATATAATAAAACAATGTGTCTTACTATTTTTATACGAGATAACTTAGTCAACAATATGCCTTACTTCCAAATCCTTACATCCAGTATTGTAATACGGTTTGAAATCAACTGGAGACAGTATTTTTTCTATGTAGCAAGTCTGTAAATGTAAGCAAAATCAAAGCACTGTAGGCACTGATTTTTTTTTGAGTCACTAGAAAAACAAACTTTTACTAGTAAAAGATCAATCCTGACTTTTTTCTATCGATATGATGACTATAAAGTATAGAAACAAAATTTCATATAAGCTATGATAAGAATGGCCACTAAATATACAAAATACAAACACGAATTTGCAAAATTATTCTAGACCTTCCAATGAGAAAACAATCAG